CTTTTGATGAAAAAACATTTAAAATGATTAAAACTTATGATAAATGTTGATTTAGTGAGGATTTAGAAGAGAATAGAGGGATGTTTTGGGAGTTTGGGGTCAGAAAACTAGAGAGAGGCCGAGAGAGAGATAAAGAGATTGGAAAAAATGGAAGATGAGGCTCTGGTCATGAGCATATAGACAGAGCTTTTTACAACAATAAAAAAGAATATTTGTGACGATATGTGTACTATTTGTGACGACTTGTGCATTATTTACGACGACACTTGTCGTCACAACTATATCTTAATTATTTAATATTTAAAAGGAAGGTTTTAGAATTATAATTTGCGATGACATATATTAATTTTTGGGAAACTACCAATTTCCCCGCCCCTCATTTCTTTTAACGGGGAATTCAAAATCATTTTTTGCGACGACACCTATTAATGTCGTCGCAAATAAATTTTGTGAACCGCCAAAATGACCCCTTTTTACTCCGGGGACAATAAATAAATGATATATTTCTAATGTTATTTTGCGACGAGCGACGACAATGTGATTATTTGTGAACCGCCCATTTGTGACGACAATGTGATTATTTGTGATGACAAGTTGTCGCAAATAATGTTATTTTGGCAGCAAACGTTGGTGCCATACAACATTTGCCGCCAACTACATATTTGTGACGAAATTTGAGTTTTTAGCGATGATAATATTTTCCTGTTATATGCAATGTATATGCGACGTTATGTCGTCACAAATATTTACTTATTTGTGACGACAATATTTTCATCACAAATGGGCGAAATTATAGTAGTGATATACAGACATATACATGTATATGTACATATTGGAGCCCTCATTTCTTTTAACGGGGAATTCAAAATCATTTTTTGCGACGACACCTATTAATGTCGTCGCAAATAAATTTTGTGAACCGCCAAAATGACCCCTTTTTACTCCGGGGACAATAAATAAATGATATATTTCTAATGTTATTTTGCGATGACAATGTGATTATTTGTGAACCGCCCATTTGTGACGACAATGTGATTATTTGTGATGACAAGTTGTCGCAAATAATGTTAGTTTGGCAGCAAACGTTGGTGCCATACAACATTTGCCGCCAACTACATATTTGTGACGAAATTTGAGTTTTTAGCGATGATAATATTTTCTTGTTATACGCAATGTATATGCAACGTTATGTCGTCACAAATATTTACTTATTTGCGACGACAATATTTTCATCACAAATGGGCGAAATTATAGTAGTGATATACAGACATATACATGTATATGTACATATTGGAGCTGAGGGTTCACTTAATCAGATAAATAAATTAGAACCTTATTTAGGGATGGGAATCAAGTGGGACGGGACGGGTATGCTCCTCCCACTCCTGTATCTTACCCCATTAGGGAAATTATTTCCATACCCTACCCATTTGCCTATTAAGAAAGAAAAATTTTAAAATTCTCTAAAGTAAAAAATTAAAAAGTCCTCCTAACATTATAAAACTCAAAGCAAACTTCATTAAATTAATTATAAAATTTAGCAACAAACTCATTAATGCCATAAAAAAATATTATAATTAAAAGGATAGTTTCCTTTTTTCTTTTTGATTGTTCTCTTTTCTTTATAATTATTAATTATTATACATAAATTATAAGATTTTTAAAAATATAATATATATAAAATAAAAGTACATATAATCGAGTTGGGGCCGCAAACGAGGAGCTTCCCCCAGCCCTGCCCCATCACCATTCGAGGATTAATTCTAATTCTCATACTTACCCCATCCCTATGTAGTATTCTTCATATCTGCCCTATTAAGAGCGGGCACCCGCAGGCATGGGTACCCGTGGGTAAGATTCCCATCCCCAACCTTAGTTAACAACCAAACCCAACTTTCCTGATCAACATATCTCTTTCTATTTGACCATCCTGAGATTTTAAGAATCAGTTAGGGAAAAATAAATAAATTATGATATGAGAAAGGTTAGAATGGAACAAATTATTGTATTCCGTGATTGTGTTTAGCATTGACATTACTTAATTAAACAAGGAGGAACAACAGGAACAAGCCTCACTGGAGCAAGAGAATTCTACTTTTCATATTTTGAAACGCTGGAACAAGATATTTGGCTTATCATATCTTCAAACCATACTATATTATTGTCAGTCGAACCTTCTTAGTATTATTGTTGAAGGCATTGAATATCTTATCCAACTGTACCGATGCACTGAATTCGACACGTACACACAAAGAGAGATCAAGGAGTTTAATTACTATTAGAATAATAGGTATTTATGCACCAAAACTTTATTTAAAAAAAAAAGAAAACAGTTCACTAAAAATATAATAAAATCGTATACATGCAAATCATGCTTGCGCATGCATTATTATATATTAATCGCGTAAAGCGCGTCTTGCGTGCAATTTAAACAATTTATAACTTATACGCTGTCAAAAATAAATTTATATTTCGTTAATATTATATAGTTCTAAGAAAATCATACGCGTAATTTTTTTGCATGTTCATCGGTATATTGAAAAGATTTTTTCAGAAACTAAAATTTCTAATCTTTTTCACAAGATAATCAAATCAGTTGAAATATCACAATTAAAAAAATTTCTTAGCGCTGCTACTATATGTCATATTTAAGTTACATCATGTGACTAGGTAGACATAAGACTCAAGAGAGCAATGACGGTTAATTATATCTCTGGAAACCAAATAACTCCTCTTTGATCTTGATCTTCAGATTTTCTAGCCAGTAATGGATTAAGCACAATTTGCTAGCAAGGCGTACTTTATTTTTAAAAAAAAAAAAAAATCAATGTGTCTATAAATAATAAGAAAAGGCTACCTAAGAAGTGTGCACCTCCTAATTATGTACTATTCTAAACAAATAAATGGTACACAAGTATAGGATTATTTATTTAAAGATTGTTGTCATGAATATTAGGCCATTAGGGTACCGTTTTTCAACTTTGGAGTTCTTTTTTGTTTGAGAAAGTAACCAATTCTTTCATATTTTTTCCTTAATATATATATAAATATATATAAAAAAGGAACTCATCAAGTCTTTAAAGTTTGAATCAAGTATAAATTGTAGCAAATAAGTTAGCGTATAAATATATAAATTCTTTCATTTGCTTTAAGAAGTGGATCCCAGTATAATTAAAATAAATTTGTCATGTGGGATTTGCGCAAATTTTGTTAAAGGGCTTTTGGTAATTACAAAATAATCTTCACGTATCCTAGTTATTATATTCTTTGCACAATATCTGGGAGAAGCATAGAGTGGCTTAATGTTATTATTATTGAACTGTCTTATTATCATTAAAAAAAAAAAAAAGCTCTTCAATGATCATGAGTTCTCACCAAGGGAAACCGACATGATTGCCAAACGAGTCATCTAATTATGCATACGAATATCTGGTAACTTAAAGGATCGGATACAAAGACAGGACTCTAATGACAATTATTTTTTTATTTTAATAAATTGAAGTTTTGCTAATATATATATATATATTTGACATTGAGTCTTAAATAAATTCACTCTCACCCAAATAAATATTTGATTTGTGTTCAAAACGAACTTCTTTCCTAAAAAGAATCACGTACCTGGCGGCCGACATCATCTCCACATATCAAGCCCAGCTTTTCTCTAAAAAAATAAAGAAAAAAAGAAAAACAGTAAGATTAATAAATGATCATAGGAAAAAAAAATACGGAAAGCAAATAATATATGTAATTACTAAGCATATATGTGATCCTTTTCTTTTCAGCAAAAAAAAAAAGGCCTAACTTTTTTTTTTCTTTTGCTTGAATATATAAAGTTAACAACTTCAAAAGAAAAAAAAAATAAAGAAAACTAAGGCTAATTAACTTACAGCTGGTTATCCGCTAACTAATATTCACAGAAAGGTTTAGGTATGTAAAACATAAGAGTTCCAATTTTTCTTTGCTAAAGAAGAGTTTATGAAAAACTGCTTGAAGTACTTTGCGTGTCATGTCCCATGCATCAAAGTTCAAAAACCCATATAGATCAGTTTACCTTTGAAAAATTAAACGTAGTATTTAGATCAGCCATTTTAGTTAATTGAAACAATATTTTGTTTATTTCACTAATCTAGTTCAGTTCAACTCAGTTTAAACAATGAACACAGTTTGACAACTTTTCCAAATAAAAAAGTTGACTGAATTAACTTTTTTTTTTGTTCCCCAACTTAAACCAAACAGGCTTAGAATTTCCATATAATTTTACAGTAGATCATGACCCAATTGAGTATTTGGCTCAATTCGGTTCATCACATATTTATTAGTTCTTATTCTTCCAATAATATCATGTCACATTAATAAAAATATTTTAACTAACATAATAATTTAATTGATGCGACATGATATTATAACTATTTCAACTGACATAATAATTTAATTGATGCGATATGATATTATAACTTATATAACATTTTAACATGACATAGTAATTATTAGAGAGACATAAAAATTAAGAATAAGATTACGGGGATAGAGGGGGACGAATCCACCAATTGAATGGCGCACTTCTCATGATCAAGAAAAAAAGGAGTAAAAAATCGAATAAAGAGTTGTTTCATGGAAACGTGATGTTTGATCAATTATTGTTTTATGAAATATGATTGCTTCAGTTTTTTTTATAGTATTTTGGTTACTTCTTTTTCTTCTCATTCTCTTTTCTGAAAAGTAATTCGTTGGACAAAGAAATCAAAAGAAGATACTCATCATATTTAGTCAACGTTTTCCCCCATTCTCTCTCTCTTTCCTTTGAACATTTGGGTATATGCTAGCAGCTATAAAATGGAGCTCGCGCTTCCGTTTTCATTTGTGCTCTCTAACTACAAGGTTTGGAAGACAAAGCTAGCCAAGAGAATATATATAATATATATTTCTTTTCTTCCTGATCACCCTTTTTTATTTTCATATCTTCCATCTCTGAACTTGTTTTTGTGTCATAAAAACAAATAATGGGCGATATTTCAATGACTAGTGAAGACCACATTTTGCATGTAATCGGTGGTGACACTCCAGCCAACAAAGAAACAGTTGTTTCTACCCCTGTGGTACCTCTCCTGCAAAAGGTATACATGCATATATATATATATATATGTATGTATATATATATATATAATACACACACACACACACTCGGCAATGACCTTTTGTTTTCCGTTTCTTTTTTATTTATAAGATTAGTTATACTTCAACACATAGAGCCCTTACAAATTTTGGCGTGTACATTTCCTGCATCTTTATCTATCAATTTGCAGCAAACATGTGTGTGTATTTGCTTTTCTCGTTCTTATAAGTACTTGGGGAAATTTTCTTGAATAAAAAAAGATGTCCATAATTTTCAACGTTAGGTGTTTATGGGATTTGGTTATATATTAATACAACCTTCTTACATTTAGAAATATGCGCTACCATTATATCAAATCTCCAGCGCAACTACACATATCAAGTGATTTTTTATTTTTTTTTTTTTTTTTTTTTTTTTTTTGAGTATAGTTGGTTGCGGAGCTACTGGCCACCTACTTCTTCATATTTGCTGGTTGCACCTCAATCCTTGTTAACATAGACAAGGATAAGGTGATAACATTCCCAGGGATTGCCGTAGTTTGGGGATTGGCGTTGATGGTCATGATTTACTCCGTCGGACACATCTCCGGTGCCCATCTCGATCCTGCCGTTACCATTGCTTTCGCCACCATCAAGAGATTTCCATGGAAACAGGTAAATTGACCCTGAAGTGACATCTACAAACATTTTGCTCAGGCTCAAATAGTTACAGCTCATAAAACAGATGATCAAACTGTATGAAGTTTTTATGTGCTGTTAAGAAAAAAGTAAATCATAATTCACACATTTATAGCACTCTTAAAAATTTATAAGACTGGTGATCTCATTAAATTCTACTACTTGAGGGTCGTCACGGCGTAAATTCAAAGCTTATGAACTCATTTAATTGGCGCAATATTTGTATATACTACGGCCCCGTTCATTTCGCGGATTCGAGTTTAGAATTCGAGTTTTGCTACAGAAAAAAGCTCTAAAAAACAGTCACATCTAACTTTTTTACTACAGTAAAAAGCTCTCACACAAAATTACATCTCAACTCGAATTACAAACTCGAATCAGCAAAGTGAACGGACCCTACAATGTTAAGGATACCTTTGCTTCATCCACGATTTAATAAAATTGTGTACAATATATATGTGTGTGTATATATACATATATCATATATATGTAGCCATGTGATAATATTAGTTCATTTATGTGCACGTAAATAAGACAAACATAAACAATCTTCACATTCTAGTGTTCTAAAAGTGTACCTCCCATAGATGTATTTGTTAGTAAAAAAAAAAAAAAAAAAATAGCCTCACTCTTTTTTTTTTTCCCGTTCTTTTTCCCTTTGTTATTATTCTTTCTTTTGACCCAAAATATTACCTGTCACTTCTAGATGAGTTGTAACATATATATACGTGTACAATTTATAGGTACCAGCTTACATAGCAGTTCAAATAGCAGGAGCAACGCTTGCAAACGGTACACTTCGGCTGTTGTTTAACGGCAAACATGACCATTTTGTGGGAACAGTTCCGTCTGGCTCCGATTTGCAAGCTTTTGTGGTTGAATTCATCATTGCGTTTTTCCTCATGTTTGTTGTCTGCGGTGTTGCCACTGATAATAGAGCGGTATTTAATAATATGCTTTATTTATTTTATAATATGGAGTTTATTGCATAATTAGTACATCTCGAACTTTTGGGACTCATTTAAAAAGTATACTTAAATCATGATTTTTGATTCTGACGTTTAAAATTTTAATTTTTTATAAGAAAAAAACACTGTAACAGAATTAATGATTTGAGTTTGAATATACGAAATAAATGGTCCCTCAATGTTTGGCAACTTGAACCCCAATCATTTTTTATTTTGACATTCTATACCCTGGCTGTCATCCATTATTTGGTTTCCGCTATTCTTTGGACTTCATTGTTAAGATTGTAAGTTTATGGTCCTAGATACCAAAATTATAGTTTGAGATGTAACGTGCAAATAATGATAAATTTAGAATGCTTGACCCTCATATATATATATATATATATATAATATTTTGATAGTCTATCAATTATTAACTTTGTTTATGAATATATCTTCCAAAAAGTTTGTGCAACAAATTTTGTATTGTAACGTGAGATATAGTGACTGGATTTTTAATCTTAAAACCTTATCTACGTTTTGACAATGTGACATGGAATCTCACATGCAAATTATTTTTTTTCCCTCCTATTTTTGTGCAGATCGGAGAACTTGCTGGGCTTGCGGTTGGATCGACCATTCTTCTCAACGTGTTGTTTGCAGGGTATTAACTTATTAATATATATTTACGTAGATAAAACTGTTTAGGGCGCAAATCGACAGGAAAAAAAAGACAAAAAAATAAAAATAAAAATAAAATACCAACATTTTATGATGCACTTTTCGTATGCCGCCATTTTATATATATTTTAATTCTTAGGACTATAGTTTTAGTTTTAAAAGGCTTTAAAACAAAAAAGAGAATTAACTAAGAAGAGGAAAAATTATGGTGACGTTTATAGTATAAAATCTTTTGAACTCTCTGGTACAAAATTCAAAACTTTTTTTTTTTTAAAGAGTCAAAACCCTTCCGACTCGAAGTTTCTAAAATAATTTCTTCATCCCACTCATGATCATAACAATAAGAATTAATTTGGAAGATTTTTGAAATTTAAATTTGTGTATGCAGGCCAATTTCTGGTTCATCGATGAATCCAGCTAGAAGCTTAGGTTCGGCAATAGTGTGGAACAAGTATACCGGAATATGGATTTACCTTACGGCACCAGTGATTGGGTGCACTTGTGGTGCATGGGCATACAGCTTCATCAGGTTCACAGAAAAGCCAGTCCGTGAAATAACCAAAAGTGGCTCTTTCCTAAAGGGATTGGGACTCAAATAATTATCAATAAATATTATTATTTTAGCGATAACGAAATGTGCAGAGATATGTGATGAATTTGTTCTACTTCAAGAAGAGAGCTCTCTGATTGAAGAAGCATTAATCTTGTTGTTTAGTCTTAAAAAGAATTCTATGAATTTGTATCTTGATATATATCTGACGTATTGTGTTATATATAGGAAAATTCTATGGTGTGTACTTTTCCATGGAATTTTATTAATTTGACGATTTTAACGTATTTTTATATATTACTAAATCTCAGAGTAGACAGGTCATAGCGGAACTTTTTTTTTTTCCTTCTTTTTTTCTCTTTTTTTTTATTTTTTTATATTTTATTCGGCTATGTTTGTCGCTTTTTATCGTCTTTGTATCTATGACCAACGTATATATATTACTAAATCTCAAAACATGCAGGTCATGATGGATTTTTTTTGTCTTTATTTTTTATATTTTACTCTGCTACGTTTGTCGCTTTTCATCATCTCTGTAGTTTGTATCCACGCGTGGCTAACGTATATAATTTTAAGATGATAAATTTTACCCGTTAACCCATTTACTTGCTGGGACCCGCCTTAAACAGGGCAGAAAAATCATGTTTAAGTGCATGCGGGTTATACACGGATTAAAACTTTAACCCGTCGCAAGTTGCAAAGCATGGACGAGTTTAGAATTTCTCAATCCTATTCCTCATTTACCTTTCCCGTATTCTTAAAATTATATATATTATCTACGATATGTTGTAATATATAATTTTAAGCATAATATATCACATGATTACCAAAAAAATATAATATATCACATAATAAATACAAAAAATTCTAAACTATTTCTCTTTTATTAATTTTAATTTCATGTTTTGTATAACTGTGTTGATCTATTGATTAATTATTTATCTTATGATGAAATTAACTAAGAAACAAAGTTATCTATAATTTATTTTTAACTCTTTCTATTACGCATTTATTATCTAATTAATCTCCTATATTTAATTATACTGTAACTAAAATAAATTAAAAAAATTGAAACAACATAAATGCATGTGCCTTGCACGTGCAGTTTTTGCTAGTATTTGACTAAAATTCTTAAAAATATAGTTAATGGTTCTTAAAAATGTAGTTAATGAAGAATTCTTAAAATCATGTTGCTTCATTTTTTTTTTAATTTCTAATAGCTATTTATTTTAAATGGAATTGTTTTTATTTATTATTATTTTTTTTGAGAAATTGATTTGGCATAGGATTTTGTCATAATCCTATTTGCTACACATGTACTTAGAGATACGTAAATCTAATATATTTTTTTCTTTTATTTGGGTCTGGTATATTGTAAATGAAAAGTACTCTAAAGATAGTTAACTTAACGCTCACTCAAGGAATGTCACAGTTATCATCTCCTAATATTCATTATTTATAATAAAATAAAACTTTGCAGAATTTAAATAATAAAATAATAAAATAAGGAACTTGAATTTTTTCAAACAATTAATCAAAATAGCTTCATCTAAAAATAAAAATATGGTTGCAATATTACCAAAAACCTTAATTAAGTTAACATAGTTAACAATATGTCTTTAACTTGCGGAAATTCATAACATAAACTATAAACTTAGGCCCCGTTCACTTCGCTGATTCGAGTTTAGAATTTGAGTTTTTCTACAGTAAAAATCTCTCATAAACAATCACATCTAACTTTTTTGCTACAGTAAAGAGCTCTCACGTAAAGTCACATCTCAACTCAAATTCTAAACTCAAATCAGCGAAGTTCAAATCATCCGCACCGAGCTCCTCCATTCTCATACTTAGTTGCAATATGAGAAACATCTAGTAAGCATAACGTTTAGTAATTACATCTTATTCTAACAAAACATTTTCATCAATTAATAACATTTAGTGAAATAACTTTCATCGATAAGTAATTATATACTTAAAGTACTATACGTATATAATACTTCAAAAATATCCATAGGTCTTGACGATGTACTGTCATAGCGTGTGCGTCATGAAAAGTATCATGTAGCTAGTCCCAAATCAACCGTGACAGAATAAAGTGATGGTCGCTCATCGGACTGCATTAACCTTCCATCTATCAAGGTGTACAACACCTATTTTAAGATATCAAAAAATATAATATTTTTTTCGATTTACAGACCAACCCGTCCTGTAATATATATATATATATATATACATATATATTTAAATCTTCCTACTTTCATCAAAATAGTGAGGCCGGGCCTGTTGTTCTAATCCGGCCCATATTTAAACTTCTAGCCTAGCCCGTCCACAGTTTGTGTAAGGGAATACTTCGTTACTCTTTGAAGGTGTTTGACATGGGCTACCCATGATCGTCCATTTTGTTTTTGCGGCAACAAGGAGTTTTCAACTAGCCAGGTTATGAGATGTACTTCTATTTCATCTACAGATAAAATTTTAAGAGAAAAATACATGGTTTGCCCTAATTTGTGGAGACTCATTATTTATGTCATTTTAAGTGTTATTGTAAGTTTTTATTTTCTTTTTATTAATTAAATGACAATTGTTTAATTTTAAATGAAGTGACATAAAATATGTTTTATCATCTTGAGTGGTATTTCTGATTTTTTTCTTAAATTTTAGTTTGTTTAATTATATAGGAAAGTGTGGTGTATATACCTCATTAATAAATAATATGTGCTCTTTTATTGATATGATCTCTATTAATTATATATCTTCTGCACGAGCCAATTTGCGTAGAGATCAATCATTCCTATGGTGCACCTAACCCATCCGACTCTGTCGATAATACGACATATCTCATAGCGTCTCGACTTCTAAAAGCACTAATACAAGCCACAGAGTTTCTTGGTCTCATATAACAAAATAAAAATGTACGGGTACTACGAGTGCTAATCATCACCAATTCTAAAAAATGGACTTTATGTCATGGATCCACTTATAAGTAGGTGGTGCTCAACATTTCAGTACCATATAGCATTATTCATAATGAAGAAAAAGGAATAGGACTGAGCTCAGTGACGGAACCGGAATTTATTGGTAGGAGGGTTAAAATTTTTTTTATTAAGATTATACTAACATGTATATATAACAATTTTTGTTTATATATGTAACACATGGTTGTCCAAAAAAATGTAAAAAACTATTAATTTAAAAAGGATCAAGTCTAATTTATACACGTCTAATTATATTAAGATTAAAACCTTTATATTAAAAAACAAAAGATAAAAAAGCTAAGGGGCCACGACCCTCCCTGCCCCCTGTCTCCGTTGATGACTGAGCTATTTTCACTCCAATTTAAAGATATGCACTTGTCTCATTTTGATTTTATTCTATTTTAATATTAACTCACTTTTAGAAGTCTAGCCAATAGCTATTTTGACATTTCTGAAATATACAATTTTAATATATGTGTTAATAAGTTGTCTCTTTATAAACGTAATGTAGTACAAGAATGAAACATAGGGATCAACTTGATTAGGAAAGAGAAATAAAAAAGAAAAAAGAAGATATGGCAGTGTGACCTTTTTTTATTTATTTAATCCATGTCTTTTTTTTTTCTTTTAGATTTGTGCTTTGGATTTGAATGTTTATTTTTAATATTTTCTTTCTCTTAAAACTCAATCGTGACACCGTCATGCTAAATTTTGTTTGAAAATAAACAATTTATTAACATGATCAAAACATTACTTTGAAAACGTTAGTATAGTACTAATTAGACATGTAAAAGTAAATATTGGGTTTAAAGTGAGCAAGAATCCGTTTATTTTATATACTCAAACTTAAATTATTAATTTTGTTACATTATTTATCTCTCACAAAAATTTTAAATTTCAAACGTCATAATTAAAAATCATAGTTTTAATATATGTTGTAAACGGACTTTTTAAGTTAATATCTTTAGGCTTTGAGAAAAAAAAGGGGGGTTAATATCTACTGGTCTTTGACGAAAACAATCTAATAAAAAAAAGGCTGTTAGTACTTTGTCCTGCACTATGAACATTATGTCACTTTGATATGTTGAATTTTATTATTATTATTTTTTAGCTGAAGATGTTTGGTATGAGGATTTTAGAATTGAAATCATAGTTCTAGTTTAAATAGTGTTTGTTTACAAAGAGTAAAAAATGGTTCTGGTTTGACTCAATAAAATCAGTGTTGATTTTGATTCAAGTTTTGAACTTTGATGTGATATTTTAAATCAGAATCATCATTATTCTAAAACCACCCCTCCCTTAGTTTTAGGTGGTTCAAATCTATAATTCTGGTATGATTTTAGAACTATAATTTGGACCTAAAATTATGAATTATGGTTTTGATTTTAAAATTAAAACTAAAATCAGCCTAATTTAAACCCTAATACCAAACAAAGCAAGTCTTTGATCTTTGTTTTTGGCAGTGGCTCATGATTTGACAATGAACTTATTTTAACAGAGGTAAGCGAGTCCCCATCACATGAAAATACATTAACGCCAAATGTTCTACTTCACTACTGCTAAAACCCTTGAAAATATTGGAACATTTTTATTACTCAATGTGACAATTCCTATAAAATTTAAAGTTATTAGTTGATAGAGATATGATTAATCTCTGTTGAATTTCAGAAATCCTTTATCATCTTTTAGCATAAAAGATTAAAATTAGCACCGAATAAAATCAAAAATAGACATTGCCTCTCTATCAGTAGGATTAATTTTTAACCATTAAATCTAATTAAAATTACATCAGTTTAAAAAAATATATAAAATAGATAATTTTTTATATAGATCTGACAGTTAAAAATATAGAATTACCGGTAGTATTAACAAAAAAAAAAACCCCACAAAATAATCTATCAAAATACATTTAAAAATGTGACTCATAGTTTAATGACTAATAATGTTAATAATCTAAAGAAAAAATAAATAAAGTTTACTCGTGATGCCTCTAATGGAGCCTGAGACCAAGGGTGTACTACACAGATAGTTGGTGCTTTCATGAATTGGGCACATTGACCGGAACAAATTCGTC